ACAGTTGCTATCCTCCCATTCCTCTGCTGCCTCCTTTGTTCTTTCTCAATAAAAGTTACTGAAAATGGTAATCAGGGCCTCAGTCCTAGAGTCTACTAGCCCTCTGATGCCAGAATTTTGCCTCTCTTGCATTTTCTTTCCTCTTTTCTATTCATCCGTGTGTACCTCATCCTCAGGACCTGTTCACCCTGGCCAGAAATGCATGATTAGACTGACAAAGGCGGTGCCCCAAAACTTACCAAACTGCTCAAGCATATGGAGTAGTTATTACTCAGGTAGGCCTCATAGTTCTCGCACTGTGAGTGGTAAAATGTGTAGATGTCAGACCCACAGTTGGACAGGGTCTGCCTAATTCGTGTAACTTGAGAATCACTCCCCTGGGCACCTGGATCATTACACAGCGAAAGTGATGGGGAGACCATCAGGTTCCCGGGATCTGTATGGTGGGGGAGAGAGAGAGAATATTCGATAGAACAAAGGAGATTGTCTGTGACCCTTAGGAGCTCTAAGCTCAAATCCTCCAACCCTCCACCACATTGTCTTTGAACTATGCCCCTTGGAGAGCTCTTCCGGGAGAGGTACGTGTGTCCTCAAAGCTTTGCCTTCTCTTGGGACCCATGAGTTCCCTAAGTTCCTGGCCTGCATCCCGTGCACACCTCAGGAGCCCCAGGTCCTGCTTGGCCCATACTCACCCTGGCTGCTCTGGTTACTCATCCCTGCTCCAGCCGAGAATGCTTATGCGTGCCGAAGTGGTCCTTGGTAGCAGGAGCAAAGAGAAGGGATCCTCTCCTCTCACTAAGCTTGTGTATTCTGCTTTGGCCCGGAATTCCACTTTTAAATAAAAGGTGGTTACCAGGGTATCATTGTGGAGAAGGACGTTCTTTGATTACAATGCATTGACGAGACGCTAGGATTTGTTTGCTAGAGTTTCTTAAGATAAGGCCTTATTATAGAGCCTGGATTAACCTTGAGTGTTTGATCCTCCTGTCTCAGCCTCCTGAGTGGTGTGATTATAGGCGTGTGTTGGATAATATGTTGAGAAGGGTAAGCCTTTAATTATCCTTGCTAAAAAAAAACAACAACAAACCCTTGGTGTCTGCCCATTAACTGGCTGCACCCTTAGTTCCTCCCCATTGAAAGGTGACTGAAGTTGGTATTCTCGGCTGCACTCCCAGAGGCCGTACGCCCGCCTCATCTCAGAGTTTTGCCTCTCTTGTTTTTCTTGTCTCTTTTTACTTTTCTGATTGATCC